TGCCCACTCCTATCTGAACAATAATGCTCACAAGTTGGGATCTGCGGTTAAAAGTGATCACCTATGCTTCAGTTTTTATAATTCAGCCCCAATTCATGAACTCACAGCCTTGTTATCTCCAGTGCTGTATGCTTTGAGAGTCAAAGTGTCCACAAACATCCCCACCTCAAAGGCCCTGAGGGGTGTGTGTGTGCACGCAAGTCTCCTGCCGTAGAGCTCAGCTCCTGAGAAACAATAAAACCCTCCCTCTAGTGGTTCAAACTAAAACATTCTCTTGCCCTACAAAAATCCAAAGCACACACACAGGAGACACTCTGGAGCCATGTCACAGGATTGAAATTCCATTGTCTCCTGATTTTATCCCACCACTGAAGGCTTGTGAACACAGCAGGCCTCTCAGCTGTGCCAAGAACTCCCTCCAGGCTCATGAGCGCTCACCTTTCAGCTCCACACGTGACTGCCATCTGGCAGAGGGAACCCAGTAGAAGCCCAAAGCCGCTCTCTGTGATGACTGACGGGCGGCTATGTCATCATTCTGGTATTTCAGAGCAAGACACTGCCTGGCTTTTCTTAAAGTCCGAGCTCCAGACTTTTCCTCCCTCGCCTATCCTACTCTTCATTTTATAAGGCTCTTTGTGGAAGCCAGGAGACTTAGGACAAGTCTTTAACCTTTGTGTGCCCAGTCACTAGATCTTCTTAACGACTAAAATGGAATTGAAGCATAATTACCAGACCTTAACATGTTATCAAATCCTCATTCAGCCTAGAAGAAACTGCCCCACCGAGTGATTTAATGGCTTATTTTGGCACCCTGATGTGGTGCTGTAGGATAAACACTTGACTGCTAACCTCGAGGATGGTGGTTCAAACCCACTAACTACTCCCTGGAAACCCTGAGTCACTATGAGTCAGAACCGACTCAATGGCATGTTAACAATAATAATTTGTGGAATCCAGTAAGAGCTGTTTTTCAAGCTCCACCATTGCTCATAAAAATACAGGGCAGGGCGGTGAAGGATGAACTCCGGGAAGCAGCTAATTCTATTTTCCCTGCCCAAGAACTCTACCTCAGGTAGTGCTGGGTTCTAGCACAGCAGATACAAAGGAAATTCTGGTGCCCGATTATTGGAATAACCATAACCTTTTAGCAAAGTAGGGTTTATTCCCAAAGGTGCTGCAATTCTTTATATATTATGTGAATGATGGCTCTCTCTGAACTACTACCACTCCCAGTGGACCATCCTTTTTATATACATAGAAGAGGTGCTTTTAAGAAAGTGTTCATTAGTTTCTGCATCTAATGCAATCAGGTTGATACCCCCCAACTCAAATGACAGCCAGATTCTTTTAAAATATGAGAAGGAAAATGAAATTAGCAAGATTTAAGGCAGGACTAGTAGACTCAGTGGCATTTCTAGTCTTTGGTTTAAATGAAAGAGCAAATGCGACCACATGGCTGGTTGTCTCCAAGAGGCCGTGCTTCCCTCGTGCCACAAAGCTTTCATCTCAGAAGCACTGGGTGTCATCAGAGGAACATATTCCCTGTCTTTAAAGAGCCATCGAATACCAGAGCTTTCTTGCTTCTGGCACATCAAAATGTTCTATCTACACCCCTTCGATCTAATTCAGGTTACATCCTCAGAGAAATGGAGGGCAGGGAATACTTTCTTGCCCACTTCTTCCACTGCTATGATAAAGTCACTGGAAAGCAGAAAATACAGTTTTTGTTGTTGACAACTACATTAAAGCAGTGATTCCATTTTAAGAAAAAAAAAAGTAAAATTCCTGTACTAGGTGTTGCCCATTAAGGCAGTGAAGGAAATGAGTTCCCCCACTTCAGGAGTGCTGTTCTTAAGAGAGTCAAACAAGGCCACGTTGTATGCAGATGCCCATGGTCCTACAGGCATGGATAAGTCTGAAATCCTTATCCACAAGTTCACTAGGGATAGGAGACAGTTTCTATTAGGTCCTTTTTGCTGTCAACAGAGTAGTATAGCAGTAGGAACAAGAGGAAAAGGTACATTGTTCTTTGGTTTGTAAAGACTCGATCAATGGTGGTGTATTCTGGGCTGGACTCCTGAGGTGAAATGCAGTGGGCAGCTGGTGGATGTCTCTGGTCACTGTATCATTAGCCTCCTTTGAGTTGACCTCTGATTCAATGCACAAGGAAACAAAGCACTGACCAATCCCACACCATTCCAATGATTTAGTGTGTGTGGAACTGTTGTAACTCAAGCTGATCATGGGGCCTTTCTTCCTGCTTTATCTGCTGAAACCTCCTCAGCATCACCTGCAACATGCAAACCACCTTCACTAACATACAGGCAGTAGTTGTGCCTGAGGTGTCCTTAGCCAGAAATCAAACCCAGGTCTCCAGCACAAAGGTGAGAATTGTTAGGGAACCATCACTGCTTCCCTGGTCCTTACTACACATGCCAACCACCAATAGGAAAGTGGTGGAAAAATTTCCCCAATTCTTTTCAAAAAAGCATATTTTACACAATGAAATTTACACAATGAATTTTCCAACTCTTTCAATGAAATCTACTGAGCTGAAGGAAGGATGAGAAAAGAAACAAAATTCGGACATTTAATCGACTTAAAAAAAACTTGACAGGAAAAAATAAAATTTCAGATGTTTTTTATTCAAAGGTTCTCAAAAGAAATAAAACAGAAAAAGCTAACAATCTGATCAAATGTACAGTTCAAAAATGTCTTTTGGCGTTTAACAACAAGTCCTAGGAAACAAAACTACAGAGTTATCTTGAACCGGACAAATAAGTTACCACTGGCAAGTTTGTGGCACTAGTAAAACAAAAATAAAAAATTAACTCTCTTGATCATATAGATATCTCTATGAAAATCTTTTTTTTTTCAATCTGTACAAAAGGTCTTTCTTCATAAATTAATTTTTTCTATAATTTAATGGCTGTCTACTATGTGATGTTTAACTGATTTTTCTTTTATATGTACAGAGGTTATGTTTCCCAAATCTTACCCAGACGAGTATGGCACTTAGTTCAGACATTTCTAGCAGCAGATTTTCCCTCCCTTCTAACTGAGCTTTCAAATTTCTGTCTTAACTAATGCAAAGAATATCAAGTAGTGAGAGACCCAGGTTTGTAATGTACTAGGTACAAGGAGGGTGCTGCGTTCAGTCTGGACTTTCACGAAGCAGTAATATTCCAGGGAGCATAGAACCAATAATACCACAACTTTAAAAAAGGAAACAAAAACAAAAACAGAAACACATTTCTCTTATGACTATGTAATTTTCACTAGAATCTACACTTCTCAGAGCAGCAAGGACTTTTGAAACTATGAAATGTCACTGACATCTATAATCAAATACAAGCATAAAATTTAAGAACTAAAAAATAACTCGAAAGAACTAACTGCTTAGTCCTAGCTCCTGAGCTAGGAGGATTTGGTCTGTGGAAACAGGGAGGGCCAGCAACCTGTCCCAGCACAAAAGAAACTAGACTCTGAGGTAGATAACTGATCACACACAGTTGACCAGACAAGTACACAGTTTCGGAAGACAACTTAATTTACCATTGCTTTGAAAACATATGCAATTGTCTTAATAAAAGAGCTTTAATAACAGTGAATCATCTTATAGGTACTAAAGCAGAAATAACTGTGTTTTTATGTTATCAGGAATTTCATAGTTTCAAAACTGGTTTTTCTTTACACTTAACACTTGTAGTGATGACGCAAAGTGTGGCACTGCTTGGGTCCAAACCTTCCTTCATGATTTGTTTATTTGTTTGCTTGTTTGTTTATGTGTCCATACATCAATTAAAATTATAAAACCTAAATGCAAAGGTACAAAAAAGGCACATTCTCCTAACCGCAAACTGGTCCGGTAAAAATAAAGAGCACAGAAGATGTGATGCGCTGAGACAAGTTGGAGCTACTGGTTACTGGCTCTTCGGTCTTTGGTGAAGTTACCTTTAAAAGTGCCAAGTCATTTTTTATTTTTCTTAATTTACCTAATAGAGAGAGAGAGAGAGCTAGTAGCCAATCATTTTGCTTCTATTCACATCTCAGCTTATATTTGAAGATAAAATCCTTACTTTTAGCTTTTGCCATTTAGTTGCAATAGCAACGTTTGTTTTCTCGGTTTGCCAGATCTCAGGCATCTTTCTCATCCTAAAGCACTATCATTAGTATAAAGGAAGGACAAAACATTCGGTGACTCCCCTCCCCCGCCCCCCACCCTCAACCCCAATGCTACCTACACTAAGTCTAGAACATCAAGTTAGTTTTTTTTTTTTTCCTGAAAAAGGCAAAAAAGACTTTACATTGCATCATACAGCAGATATCCTAAATCAGTCAAACTATCAGAGGAAACTGTTGGCATACGGCCTTACAAACAATTTACCCTATTAAAAGTTCCCCAGTCAGAAAATGTGTTTCACACAAAACTTCTTCCCTTCTTGCATTTCACTACCTTACACATTATGTGAAAAATCATTAAAAACACCTACTACATATTTAAAAAAGCCAAAATTTCAGCAACTTTTATTGACTACCTGTTAAAAGCCCTATGCTGCTGTTTTACAAGGCATAATAGACCAGCTCATTTGGTCAAAGCATTCTACATCATTAGTTTGAACTAACTTTACTGAAACAGCTACAGCATCAAAAGATTTAAGGCAAATTGGAATTCATAGAAAAGGATAAGACACTTCACACTACGTTGAAAGAAAAAACAGAAAGCTAAGAAAAGACACACTGACAGCAACACGGGATTACAGCAACACTCGCACTGCAAGCACAAAACACCATTGGTGAAGTCGGACTATTTAAACTTCAGAAAGCCCATTTCATACAGCGTTAAAAAAAACACAAATTAAAACATAAAATGACCAAAACCACAAAAATCCGGTCATGCACTTGGATAAGTCTTCATGGTCTTTGTGCATACCCAGAAAATTGAAGTTGTTTTTTTTTCCCATTTTTTTTTCTTTTTCTTGTTTTTTTTTTTTTTTTTTTTTTTTTTTTGTTTTTTTTTTTTTTTTGCTTTTTTTTTGTTTTGTTTTTTACTAAAATAAACCTGTTCAGGGGAACAGCTACTAGATGAATTTAAGGGTTTTATGCACCTTATAGAACTTATAGCAAAAATAGTTTTAGTTGATTTCATTATAAATAACGTTTTCAAGAACCTGTGCAAAACTGTCAATAATTTCCTAAAGCACAATTGATCAGAAAAATCCATGATTGTTCAGCCTTCACACCCTTCTTCATGTAAGAACGCCCTTCTGTATATCTGGAAGAAAAAAACAAAAGATTTGGTAGAACATACCACAGGACTACTGAATGCTCATCACTGGGGGGGGGTTAGTGGGTGGTGAAATCACTTATACAGATAACCGTCAATTCCAGAACCAACTTCTACTTGAGTTCACCTTTCAAACCTAACTCAAACCAAAATCACTGTCACTGAGTTGATTCTGATTCATAGCAACCCTATCTAGAGTGTGCAAGATGAGACAACGTCATCTTTTCCCTGCAGAACAGCTGGTGGGTTAGAACAGTCACCTTGTGGTTAGCAGGCCAGCCCCTGCAAAATACAAAGGGGTTTCAAAAGACTCCTTGAAAAACAGAATAAAAAGATAATGGAATTTTTACAATAACTTTTTGAAGTCCTCATGTATTTTCTTCTGTAAAGGAATCTAAGCCAAATTCATGTGGGTCCCTGTAATGTAATAGGGATCTGAAATCAACATACATTTTGTCACTAAGGCAATCCAGAAACCAAGGTGTTCTAAGTCCTTTAACTTTTGTACTGCATTGTAAAGTAAAAGGTTTTGGTTAAAGTGAGAGCTGGGAATATGATTTCTCTCTTAATCTAAAGGTACAGACATTAATCAAAACACAAGATCAAGATATTGACAATCTTGTGATGTTAGATTAAGTAACATCTTATTCCATATTTCCTTCAGTTTGTGAGTGTTAAAGCAATATAATGCAGGACGTTATGTCTTACAGAACAATTTTGATACCTGGTGTTCTCTGATGCATTACAGATTTTTGGGGATGAGGGTAAATATACATTTGACTTCAATAAAAGGCTGTGATTAAAGCAGGGTGACTACCAATTTAGAAAAGAACTTTAAGTTACTATATGAAGCACCTTTTAAATAAAAGAATCATAAACCCCATAGTTTTGGAAACCTTTCCCACATACCTCACAGTTACTTATTGGGTTGAAAGGTATATGGAGAATGGTCATTAGACGTCTCTACAGCCACCTGCTGCTGACCACTTGCCTCCTACAACAAAGCAGGAGATGAGACATGTTAGCAATGATTTCTAAACTCTACTCCCTAGGCCTGACTGAGCCCACCAGCACACATCTTAAAAACAAGTAATCTTCCAAGTGAATTTCTTAATGTCATGTTCAGCTTTCAAGGTTAATAATTTCCCTAACAATTTGAAATGTCTGATACCTATCCTAAGTTTTAGGACCGGCTTACTTATATTAAACTAAAATTATCAAACAAATCTGTCATCCTAAACCCTAAGTGTCAGGTATTGATTTGTAAGTTGGTAGTTTTTACCTTTTAGAATCTGAAATGTGATGTGCACACATTATATATAATTCTCCACTCCTTCCCACAATGCGCGTCTGGGGCAGCACCTCATAATCAAATACATTAATAGTTCTCTACTAAAAATCATGACTAATCACAGAAAGTGTGAGAAGGATTTTGTTTTGTGTTAGTTCAGGTTGGGTTTAGCCCCAGGTCAAGTTTTTTAGTTGTTTTGCTTTTGTTTCTGCTAATGGAGAGACAAAGAGAATTTTAATTTTCATATTTTTTAAGTAAAAATTTTTAGAACTGCAGATAAGGGACTGTGGATTCAAATATTTGTGGTTGTCAGTAATTGCACACATTTAAACCAATCAGAGGCAAAAATAAATTAGCATGCCACAGTATTCTATTGCCCTTCCTGGATTTGGAATCTGAGATTTGTCTAGTGGTTCGGATCAACTGAATGGGTAAATTTCCTCAGAATTTTCTGAATACTTTACAGGAAAAATTCTATGCTTTTTATCTAGCAGTTCAAAATATCATACTCATTCTCCATAACAAGAATTAGAAATTACTTTGGTACACTAGCCACCTCTATAAAGGCAAGTATGATTTATTCTTTATCCCTGTAAACAGTTTTTTCTTTTTAGTATCATAATTACAACTGATTTCTGTTTCTAATTATTACTGACACAATCTTTAATATTAGGATAGTACACATTAGATTTATCTAGTTTGACTTAAGTATCATTTTGCAGGAGACAAGACAGTGCCTTAAAGAGGAATGAAATGTGTTCCAAGTTTGGAAAATATTTCTGGGAGTCTTGAGAATGGGGTGTGGCACAGAAGTTGCTCCACTAATATGGAATCAGAGAATTATATTTCATAGTTAAAAATAACTAGGCGAAGAATATTCCCTCTAAACTGAGGGAAATGTTTGACTTTTGATAGATTTCTAAAAAATTTGTTAGTGTACCCACATTTAAAACTATTCATTGCCAGAATGGCCATTAGGTGGTCTGTACCAACCTCAACAGGAACTGCTGCTGTCTGCATATGTGCATACTGTGGCAAGTAAGCTCCTTGCATAGCTGATGTTGCAGGCATGTACTGAAAAAAAAAAATGAGGTCAGGATGGGCAAACAACAAGCCTTGCAAATTCTAGGGAAGAATGTGAGATGGGGTGCAAAGCATTTGGAAGTCTCAGAGAAGAAATTTAAACAAGCTGCCTCTAAGCTCAATTAGTGTACATAAAAGTCTTATGAAAGCAAAGTGAATTAATGCATTTTAAGTTTTTAATTAAACTAAAATCCCCACGTTTTAAAAAATTTCCTAACCAAGAAGCACATAGGTAAAGATCCTTACAGTTTCTCATTTTTGATAAGTCACTACCACTAATGTGTTATTTTAGAAGATCTTTCCTCAAAGGGCCTCATTATTTTCCAAGAGTCCCCTGAACCCACATCTGGCTATGGTATGCTTTTGTAGATGGAGACTCAAGGGATAAAGGACTTAATCAGACCACTGCAGACTAGGACAGGGAGCTCTGCTTTTCTGAGCGGACAGTAATGCTTTCCCAGAGTCAGTCTGCTCTAGTCAATCTTGATGGATGTGTGTGGACTTGGCTTAGCCTTTAAAAGAAGCTGCGGCTGGTTTTGACAATAACAGGACAGAACCCACTACTCTTTGCTCTTTAAATCATCATAGACATGGGATGAATTAAAAGCCTTCAGTAATCTTACCTTTTAAACATTAAGCATTATCAACCCTGGAAGATGGTCTGGTGGTAACTCAACTTCACTACCCAACCAAATCCATTGGACTTTGGGAAACTCCATAAAAGAAGAAATGAGGAAATGAGGAAAAGTTCCCTGTCTTACCACCATGTATCACCTTCATCTTTTGGTTGATGTGACAAGTTCTGCCACAGTGACAAGAGTGGCACTGCTTATACGGATTAAACATGGTCAAGTGTTTTGGTAAAGGAAAGATACCCAGAGAACAGACTTTCAGTTCATCAATCAATCAAGAAACATCCGAATTATTTCCTATGTGGAAGGCAATGTGGTAGTCAGAGAGGGGATCAGACATAACCTTTGCCACCACAGAGCCTGTAATTTGACAAGAGAAGGTACAGGTGCAGTCTTTACTTTGTTTGCCAAGACACAAGATGTTAATTTGCCACCTACTGTTCCGGTGCTGCCTAATGACAGATGACTCATCTGCTGGGCCAAAGGGCTGATCACAGATGCAGGTTGCAGTGACATGGTGTGCTCCATTGAGGGAGTTAACACGGCACTCTGAGGAGTCAGAGACAAGAGCAATGTAAAACCAAGCGAGGAAGGGGCCTATGGCTTTGTAATTACCTTTTGCAAAGGAAATGCCTTAGCTTGTTTAGGAATGTGAAACAAAAATAACCACCCCCATACTCTCAAGAGGAACCTTAACAGTTTCCTAAAACCACACTCTATGTGGTTTTACCTGAGACTTTTGTAAGAGCATTAGAGAAATATGTATCTTAACACTCAATTCACAGAAATCCCTGCATTAAACATCTTTTTCCATTACCTTCACTTTACAGGCTAGTCCAGCAGGAGGAGCTACAATGAGAAACTCAACTATTTTTGGTTAACTTTTTGGCTAACTCCAAAATATATTTGCATAATATATTTGGGTTACATGGGTCACAAAATGTGTTCTTAAAGAAATATCGGGGCCCTACTGCTTGGATTGACCCTTTGCTTATCTTTCCACATAACTTCAGTGTATATCAAAAGTTGCATATGCTGGGGGCTTTTGCTTTTTAACTTAACATTCGATTATAAATATTTATCTAGCTTACTTAATAGCTTTATATAATTATCATTTTTAAAGGCTATATAATTAGTCCATGGACTAATTAAACTACATTTTTAATAACTTGTTCTCTATTTCTGCACTTTGGAATTGCATTTAATTTTCCTATATATTATTCTATGGATTTTACCATTCCCTTTTTGCAATCACCTATCAATGCAATAGGAGTCCTGGTGTGGCGCTGTGGGTTAATATGCCAGACTGAAAAGCCAATTGAACTGCAAGGTCGGCAGTTCAAGCTCACCAGTCGCTCCTCGGAAACCCTCCACAGGGTCGCTATGGGTCAGAACCGACTTGATAGCACGTAACAACAACAACATCAATGCAATGAGAATGCAACTAGACTGCCAAGGCCTACAAATACAAACAATGATATTTGGCATTGTACCTGATTTTATTTATATACAAAGTTAAAGTTGAGGACAGATTACATGTGTAAGCCCTTTAGGTCTGGTTGCAAGCAGTTTAACTTGGGTGGGGAAAGGAAAATGAATCTTCAGATAGAAACCTTCTGCATACACATTTAATGGCTTCTTAAAAACATCAACCTGATGTTTGAATGGTTATATATTCCTGAATGTGTGCTTCGGTGTACTTCCAAAAAAAAAAAAAAAAAAAACACACGCACACACACACAAAAAAAACCCCAGAGGGAATGGAAGCAAATGCTGTTAAATGCATGGAGGGGATTATAATCATTGCAATGAAACAAAATACAATAGGATGAAATGTAAAGATGATGTTATCCCATGTAAACTATCACTCAATTTACTATAAAATTTTTATTTTATTGACACAATAAATATTTTTTAAAAATTGAATAGGAAGCAAGTATAAATTGCTCCAATTTGATGAACTTGACCTATACTTATGGATGTAGTAGCTCAAAATACCAACCAAGAGGGGAGGAGTCTTCATATCAAGGATAAAACCTATTCTTTCTGTACACAGGGTTGATAGGGACAGGCAACTTAGATATTAGCTACCTAAAATAGGGTAGGAGGGGAGAAAAGGTGCACTAAAAAGGCACAAAGTGGCTGGCTTACAAGTTTTCAAGAGGAAGTTGTTTCAGATCATGCAGGGGAAGGCAGAATCCCCAATGAATAGTTTTCCTCTTGTCTAAATGGGTCAGGTGAAAGATGGGGTTCATTGATTCATTTGTGAGTAGCTGTTATCATATCTAATTGCAATGGTTACAACTGAAAAGGTAGAGATTGTGTAACAAAAAGGGGGGAGTAGTTAATATTGCATTCCAGAAACAGAGGACCCTAGGAAGATCATGAGCAGAATATGGGACCCTAACCAGAGAAGCAGCTATACCAGACATGGGGTTAGAGGTGATAGCATGGAGAGACTGAGCAGCTGAGGACTCCAGACTCATGTAAAGAGAAAGGCTGTGTGCTGGTGGACAGGAGACTGGCTTCTAGAGTATGCCCTGTGGTTGTTTACATAATTATATATCCCTGTGTAGTTTTTTAAAATACATGCACTAGAGGAGAGACACATGTTGACATTGGTGACAGGCAGGCAATATGCAACTGCAGGGAGTCGGGCAGAGGAGGGATGGGAATGGTGGGAGGCACAGGGAGGAGTGCAGTGCTTGGAGTGAGCAGAGGTAAATTCTGTTATCTGTTGGTCCCTGGAGGGGGCTGTAACCATATAATGAAGCAAAATATGTGATCTGTTGACTGTGAGGCTGATGATCTGTTCTATAAACCTTCACTCAAATCACAGTAATATATACATACATCATATCATCAGAGTTCTCTGCTACTGTGTTACCACCTAAACATGTGTTCTCTGCTTCTTTTTTTTTTTGTTATCTTCTTCTTAAAAGGTCATCTCAGCAACCTCCCGTCCAGAACTTGCTGTCCCTGGATTGCTGTTTTGTACATACTGTTTGTTTTAACACTGCACAGTGTTCCTTTTACGTGGTGTCCAGAGAGAAATTCCTGTAGCAACTTAAGGTCATGAATAGTGTGCTTTTCCTAAAGCAACTGATCTGTTTTTGTCTTAATTGGTTCCCACTTTGGTTTTGATTACTAGAAAGCTTAGGGCCATATGGATGGCCCTTTCATGGAAAGCACTGGATCACTGTGTTGGGCATTATTATTAATCTTGTTCATGATGATGCCGTCTACCTTTATTTTTGTTGTTAAGCGCCATCGAGTCAGTTCCGACCCACAGCGACCCTGAACAGGGTTTCCGTGGCTGTATATCTTTACGGGAGTAGAAAGCATCATCTTTCTCCTTTGGGGCAGCTGGTAGTTTTGAACTGCTGACCTTGTGGTTCACAGCCCGATTCGTAACCACTACACTACCAGAGCTCCTTTTACCTTTATTTTTAAACCTGTTTTAACTCAACAAACTGAATTTTATCCATCTTTGAAGCATATTAAATAAGATGGTATATCTCAATTATGTAATAAAAATATACTATATATATGTGTAAATATATGTATATATATATACACCCACATTGTTAATAATTAACCATTCAATGAAATGATCGCCTATAGAATTGGTGTGGGTAAGAACATGGTGCCTTACCTCCAATATGATTTAGTCTAAGTTTTTAGAGCTTGTAAATTTAACTTAATGGCTACCATTTGGTTTTAAGACAAAATAGAAGGTGTACGGTGAATTAATGCATTCTCATATTCCAGACTTACAATATCCGAAATCCTATACCATCTGTGGAAAATGGTTTTAACCTAAAGAATATGTATCCATAACTACTTACTTATGAACCACAAAGCCATTAAGATGAGAAACTTACAGGGTGCTGTAGGATATATGGTTGAGGTTGCATCCAAGAAGGACTTTGCACCTGGAAAAGGATTTCGAAAGAAACATTGATTTCCATTGGAACCTATTTCTCTAGAACTCTTTTCTATCATGTTAAAAATCTACAGAAGGAAAATAAGGAAACAACACTATCAAAGATTAAAAGATTAAGGCAGTTAGCATTCTTGGCGAACTGGTCACTCTGAATGGGATGAAATGATTATTTAGAACCAATTTCCATTTGCCCACTCAAGAAGTATTTACTGAGTATCAGGCACCAAGGTAAAAAAGGTGAATTAGACATGGGGCCCACACTCAAGAAATTTACAAGTTAAGCAAGGGAACTAAACACACAAACTGCTCAAATAAAACAGTGGAAAGTGTTACAATCAAGGTAAAAATTAGGTGCTTTAGAAATACAGATGAATGAAGATTAATTCTAGCACATTTATTAGAAACTAACCCATATAGTATGTGCTTATTTAATAAGAATAACCAAATCCAATCATTCTTGTCTGAAATCTTGTCTAACGGTCAACATTTTCTAGTTAGTGTGGAAAATGAAATTGGAATTTGAATTTAGGATATTAAATTTTAGTAACTAGGTCTTGATATCTACAGTCAAAGGGCATCCACAGAGCAGACCTCTGTACTGAGAAATACAGACGTGAGAGCCAGGTTCTGTGGCAGAAAAAAAAGCATGGTTAGTCTGCCACTCATGAGAAAAACATTATTAGTCTATTTCTCAGTGCCCAGAGCTTTTCAGAGCTTATAAATCTCAAAATTAAATTTTGTTGTCTAATTCTTAACAACAGAACCCTCCTGTATCGTATCCCCTACTGTTAAATTCAGAGGTGCTATAGAGAGGATATGGGGAAGAGTCATGGGGGAAGAATGTATTGTGATTTACCTTGATAGCAGAGCCCCGATACTTGTTTTCTCTGGTTTCCTTTGCCACCTAAGGCAGACCAAAGTTAAGTGCTTCTGCCTTGTTAACATTTCAGTTATCTGGTCTGCAGCCTTCCCCCATTGGGATACTGGTGGTTTCCTGCAGATGCTAATTTCTCAAATCCAATTACATAGGCATATGGTGGTTTGGTGGAGAGAGGCTCACTCCAGCATGAGCACAGGATAAACCAGGGGGAGGAGTCGAGCAGCTCCCTACAGAACCCAACTTGGGCCAGATGCCCCCATTTTCTGTATGCTTCAGGGATCTCAATACTCTTAATAGCTGGTAGCATTATGGGGTTAGGGAGCTATGACATCTAATCCAATTTTCTTACTTAGGTAGCAAATCAACAGCTATCAATTTCTTTTAGTCACTTTCCCCTAATTATAAAATGGGAATAATAATCTTTATTCCATGAACTCTTTTTCATTGGTACTGAACCTCTTTTGGATCATGAATCCCTCTGAAAACCTGATGAAAGACAGAAAACTTTACCTAACTAATTGAATACACACAAACAACATTTTGCACATACAATTTAAGGGGATCACAGACTATTTAAAGCTCATCCACTGACCCTATGGGTCCTCCAAACTTCATGGCAAAGCATCAAAATTTTAGAAGCTATGACACTGCCAGGCAAATTGAATGCATTTCTACATGTTATTTTCTGGAAGCACAGAATGCTCATGAGAGAAAAATCAAGCCTATTAAATACTATGGTGTTTCCACTTAACCATATCAAGTCTACCAGCAATACTAGTTTCCTAATTTTTCATTCTATGAAATGATTTTGTGCCCTAAATGCAAACACTGCTTTCACAGCAAAGAAAGGAAAACAAAGTTGTTGGGGAGACGCTTTAATGTCTATGTACAGCAGTACACATTCAACTGAATAGGCACAATCTTCATTTGCTTAAGAATACACTATTGTTGCTCTAAGTGTTGTCCAGTTAGTTCCTACTCACAGAGACCCTGTACAGGGTTTCCTAGGAATGACTGGTGGGTTTGAACAGCCAACCTTGCAATTAGCAGCCCAGTGCTTATCCTGGACTCCAAGAATAAATTTGTTGGTCACTCAATTTTAGTGATATACAGAAATGAGAGAGGTTTCCATGTTCAGATAGTTAAGAAAGAAGGCTACTTTTATTAGGGAAAAACACTGGAGCAAATCTCACTGAGTCTTATATAGGGGAAAGAAAAGGTAGAAATCTTAGGTCCAAACAATTAACAAGGCACTGAATGAATCAATGCTATGGCTAGCAGATTAAAGCATCGGCATAAGCAATATAATCTGAGAAGAAAAAAGAAAGAAAACGAGTGACATCTCAGGGAAAAGAAAAGGGCCTCAAAGCTGAGGCAGGCTGTGAATCCCACTTTAAAACTGCAATTAGAATTCCTAGATTATTCCCCATATTCAGAGAGCAGAGCACTAGTTGTTTAATTATCTCATGACTGTAAATCACTTCATTTAATGCATCTTTGTTAATTAATGGTACTTTCTCCATTTTGAGCACAATCAGCTATAAGACATTGCTTATGTTGACCAATCCATTGTAAAAAAGACAATAAATGTGCTCTTATTAACCAGCTACTCCTGAATATTCAGGATGTTGGCAATCAGAGCTAACGTTTGCTGAGTGCTAACAATATGCCAAGTACTCCGCCGAGCTCTTACACAACAATCTCATTTAATTTTTGCAACAAGTCTATATGACATAGGAACTATTATTATCCCCATTTTACAGATGAGGAAATGGAATCCTTCAGAAGTTAAATAACACAGCTATTAGATTAGATATTGCAGTTTCCTAAGCCCAGAAATCAGGGCCACAACATCTAACTCTATCATTTTTAATACAAGAATACATAAAAAGTTGAGTTTAGTCACACGTGATCTCATCAGGCAACAAAAGGTAACTCTACTTCTAAGTGTTTGTGACTGAACCCCATTATAATGCTCATGCCTGAGCCAAGGCAATCAGCCTGCACGAGGTTCTGTTGTACAGGAGGAGAAACACATGCACACCCCTTCATGGAAAAGAAGAGCTAATATTACAATAAAGCCAAATAAGCATTATAACAAAGTGCTTACTGAGGTTTTGTTTTCAAGTTGGGAATATCATTTAAGATAAAGCCTTCTGACAAAATAACCTAAAGAAGGAGCTGCCCATTTGGCTTCAAATTTCACAGCATTGCTCATTTAACATTACCTAACAGAGATGCACATCATTATTTATTATTCGTACATTTCCCTGCTGCTTTGTCAGGTTCTGCTGACAAATGAAAAAAGGCAAGAGTGCACAAGTTTTATTTTATCTAATGTTAATTCGGTTAAAGGTTTTAGCTACTAGGTCATATGGTGTGCAAGAGCAGGGCCCACCGTAAATGAAATATTTGGGCTCATCTTAATTCTAAAGTGCTAAGATTTCAAGGACTAACAACCATTATCTTATACACAGAAGTCAATCACTGTGTCAAATAAAGCAGCGGCTTCTTCTAAATGGGATAACTAAGCTGCATGACATTTTGCTTACATTAACTATAAATGTACAGAATTTAAAGACATATAAAAACATTGCACTGATGTGCGGTTAGCAAGATGTCATACTGTTGATGAGTCCTAAAAGTACAAACCTGGTAAGCAGATACAGGAGACGCAATATAGGGTGTAATAGAAGTTTGAGTGATCATTCGGTTTGTAGCAATACTGTATGGTGACGGATAAAATCTAGAACAAACACAAAAGTCTTGATTAAGTAATCCTTTAAACAGAATAATCCACAGAACAAATGTTTGATATTTCCCACCTTCAGAGTTTCCCCTCAAACCATTATTTAGTTATCTTAATTACATACCCGTTCTGTATAGCAGCTGTAGTTGGGTCATAAGTAAGTGTCATTCCAGCCTATAGGTAAGGGAAAGAAATATAAAACTCTATTTAGAAAGGCACAATTTAAAAATTCCATTTCTTAGAATCATGGCAACACAAAACAGAGATAGTTAAGTTGCATTTTTTATAAACTTGGGAATTTCTGCTAGCCAAATATAATACGCTCAGAATTAAGTTCCAGAATTGCACTGTCCCATGTTAGCCAACACCCACATATAGCTATTAAACTTAAATACAGAATTCAGTCCCTCTAGCATAGTATTTGAAGGAGCTCTGGTAGCGTAGTGGTTACGAATCGGGCTGTGAACCCAAGGTTAGCAGTTAGAAACTACCAGCTGCTCCGTGGGAGAAAGATGAGGCGTTCTGCTCCTGTAAAGATTTACAGCCTCGGAAACCCTGTTCAGGGTCGCTATGGGTCGGAACCGACTCGACAGCAGCATACTATTTGGAGTCCTGGTGTGGCACTGTAGGATAAGCACTGGGCTGTAAGGTCAGTCTGAGCTGCAAGGTTAGTGGTTCAAAGCCACCAGTCGCTCCTTGGAAACCCTGGAAGGGTTACGCTAAGTCAGAACTGACTCCAAGGCATTTAACAACGACACACTATTTACATTTGAAGTGCTCAAATAGCCACATTTGGTTAGTGGCTACTATTGAATAGTACAGATGATAGACGATCTTTATTGAGTAGTTTTTTCCTAAAAATTCTTGAACAAGTAAACTCCTTTCCTTATAAAAAATATTAAATAACATTTAATTGGCAATATACGGAATTGGATATCAAAACAATTTTACTAAGGAATTAATATTTTTACCTAAGGAGCTCTGGTAGCGTAGTGGTTACGAATAAGGCTGCGAACCTTAAGGTCAGCAGGTTCGAAACTACCAGCTGCTCTGCGGGAGAAAGATGAGGCTTTCTACTCCCGTAAAGATTTACACCCTCGGAAACCCTGTACAGGGTCGCTATGGGTCGGAACCAACTCGACGGCACTTAACAACAACAACAACAAAGAAAACTATTCAAAAGTTAATAATCAAGAAAAAGACTCAATAACAAATACACTTTAATATTCTTTTAATAATATTATTTAGGACAATTTTTGAATAATTGCAAAATTGAAGCCCTCTGATAAATCACAATTTTACTGAAAAAACAAAACCCTGACTGCTCGAATGTATTTCTTGTAGCGATGTGGAGTCCTGGTGTGGCACTGTAAGATCTAGTGGACTGTGAGCCCCAGGGTCAGCAGATCAAACCCACCAGCTGCTCCTCAGAAAGCTTATAGAGTGCTGCTACGAGTCGGAACTGACTCTAAGGCACTTAACAACAACAATTTAAAAAGAATTTTGACTGTATGTACTTAACAAGTCAACATAATCATTTCCATACCTACTTGGCTAACTGACTGGAGCAGATTCATTTTTGTGTCCATTCCAAAGAAACGAGATCCAACAGAATGTGGAAATGACTGAATAACATCATTAATATAACATGAAAGGAAACTTTTGCAGAAGATAATTTTAAAATGGTTTCAGCAGTGTATCAATAGACAACTACCAGAAATTTTTGCTGGCTTCAGAAAAGGACTTGGAATGGGGATATTGTCAACATCAGATGGATCTTGGCTGAAGACAGAGAACACCAAAAAGATGTTTACCTATGTTTCAGTAAGTATGAAAAAGCATTCGACTGTGTGGATCATAACAAATTATTAATAACACTGTGCAGAATGGGTATTCCAGAACACTTAATTGTGCTCATGAGGAACCTGAACATAGACAAAGAAGCAGTGATTCAAAAAGAACAAGGGGATACTGAAATGATTACAATTCAGGAAACGTGTGTGTCAGGGTTGTGTCCTTTCACCATATTTATTCAATCTGTAAACTGAGCAAATATCCGAGAAATTAGTCTATATGAAGAACATGGCATCAGGGTTGGAGTAAGACTAATGAACAACCTGTATATGCAGATGACACAACCTTGTTTGCTCAAAGTGAAGACTTGAAGCACTTAAAGATGAAGATCAAAAACCATATAGTCTTCAGTGTGGATTACATTTCAACATAAAGAAAACACATATTCTCACAACTGGACTAATAAACACATCACAATAAATAAAGAAATGATTGAAATTGTCAAGTATTCAATTGTACTTGGATTTACAATCAACGCTCATGGAAGCAGAGTCAAGAAATCAAACAATATATTGTACTGGGCACATCTGCTGCAGTGACGTCTTTTAAAGTACTAAAAAGCAAAGATGTCACTTTAAACCAACACGATGACACCCAAGAATAACAATACCATTTATCTGCCTGTAGAATTATCACTATCTTAACAACATATACACTGGAAATAGTTTTAATTTGATACCATTTGGCTAGCAAAGTACCAGCAAGAAGGCGTAACCTGGGCACCTATTCTAGAATTGTGACAGATAAGTTAAGATGCCTTTTCGTAACTATTCATGTAATCTTTCATGATTATACATGCACACTAAAGTTGCAAGAAAGGACTTACAAGTCTCACCTCTCCTTCTCTATGCCATGGTCTTCCATTAGGGATGTATTTGTTCGGATTCTGCCTCTTCTTCTGTCCCCCATCCGCAAACTTACACAATAAAGGTTCTGTAGGAGCTAAATAGAAAAAGGAAAAGAATATGAAATCAGAATTATGGGTGTGTGCAGATGACAAGATGAATGTAATTGAAATGCTCTTTGAATGCGTACAGTGCTAGCGTTATGAGGCAAATGACAGCACTTTTAAGTGAAAGTTTCCTTAAACCAATATAGAATTATCTGCTGGTACGGTACAGAGTAATATACTAAGTCATGATTTCTAAATCAAAGTGTAATAAAAACATTTAAAGTGCTGCTTTGAGGAAGCAAAGGAATTTCTGATTTACCTTTACACTTCTTTAAGTATATGACTCTTCAATTTTAGGCTTTTTCCAGTTCGACCTCTACAAATGTAAATAGGATTGAGCCACCCCTCGCAAACTTAAAACCAATTATAATAAAGATTATAATTCTTCAGTGAGGTCTTTACTTTCCCCTAGTAGAAAAAGGTTCCCTGTATACTGCTCACACAACTTTGACTTTTAACCACTGCATTTATAACAACTTGAGTGTGGTTATTTTTAGTTCACCATTGTATCCTCTGTACCTAATGTGTCTGGTACTTAGAAGTCTTGGTTGAATCAATGAATGAAGATAAGTACATCTATCTATGTTATTTATTTTTGGATACAGCTTTGAAGACAACTGTTGTATCAAGCTGAAAATACCTGCACACTCTGATTTTTTTTTCTGTGGATTGAAACATCTAACTTGGTGCGGCTTTACTATATATCCACTCTACAAAATGATTCAGAGAAGAACCCAAGAAATTAAAACAGAAAAGCCAAAGATGTAGAGATGATCTTTGTTGTTGTTGGGTGCCGTGGAGTCGGTTCCAACTCATAGTGACCCTGCATAGGGTTTCCAAGGCTGTAAATCTTTATGGGAGCAGAAAGCTTCAACTTTCTCCCATGGAATGGCTGGTGGTTTCGAACTGCTGATCTTGAGGTTAGCAGCCCAACTCATAACCACTATGCTACCTGAGCTCCTTAGAGAAGATCTTTATACAAGGATATGTTTTCATTAGATTTATATATATAAAAAAGGGGGGTTGTTATACTATAGACCACCCAGGACTTCCTTCTGCATTGCTTTTCCATAATGTAAACAGTAGTGTGTTCCTGAACATCGTGCATTTTTCTGTATGTTTCTAGCTAAAGCAATAAAGGCAATCACACCTTCCTGTCTGGTTCCCACATTCTGTCCTTTGTCTACTGTATAACTGTGATTACTACTTTCACATTCTGTGTTAAAGTTAAATAACCATGAAAAGAAAAATATTACTTGTAGAAAATTTACTCCTTTCTCCTTTACCTCTTATTATCCTAATTCATCTCTTATTTTATATCACTATTACCCACCCACTAATGACAGGGTGGAAGCAGTAGTGCCTCTCAACACTTCTCTGCCAAAAAACAAAACAAAACACAATCCAACTGTAATTCCTTCTCGGTGAGCTGTCTAGTCTGTTGTTTGGCACTCCTTTCTTCTCTCCGGGTGTGAACCACTGCAAAGGGATGGGCTGGCATGCAAACTCATTTCTGAATGGCTACTGAGCTTTGGGTATCAGCAGGTCAGAGCAAAACGTTTAGGAGTTTGGTGTGAACAGGGAACCTTGGTCATGTTATGTACAAATGGAGCCTTTGTTCGCCTTGGTGGTGGCTGTGTGTCACTGAGTAAGTTCCGACTCACAGCAACCCTACATAGGGTTTCCAAGGCTGTAAATCTTTATGGGAACAGAAAGCCTAATCTTGCTCCCGAGGAGTGACTGGTAGATTTTAACTACTGAGGGCTCCCAACCCACTCTGCTACCAGGGTTCCTAACAGTTTGCCTTAGACTGACACTTCTATTTGGATGCTACCTCCCAGGCTTTCCTAAACAAGGAACTTCCACTTAAAGCCAACTGGGTGTGGTAGAAGTATATGCTCTGTATCCTTTTAAGAAAGGGATGGTTGTTGTTGTTGTTGTTGTTAAATGCTGTTGAGTCAAGATGTTGTTGTTAAGTGCCTCTGAATCAGTTCCAACTCATAGTGACCCTGGATGGGGTTTCGGAGAAGCAGCCGGTGGATATGAACTGCTAACTTTAGAGTCAGCAGTCCAGAGCTTATCCTACCGAGGCATACCAGGACTCCTGAATCAAGATAGTGACTTGTTGTTATGTGCCGTGGAGTCAGTTATCAACTCATAGTGACCCTGTACAGGGTTTCCGAGGCTGTAAATCTTTATGGGAGCCTGTGGAACAGCTGGTAGTTTTGAACTGCTGATCTTAAGGTTTACAGGCCCGATTTGTAACCACTATGCTACCAGAGCTCGTTGTAGAGATTTCCAATTTCATTGACAATCATAGATGTTAAGAACAAGATGTCAAGACAGATTTCTAATCACTAGCGATGTTTTTAACTCTATAACTGATCTATTTAGAAAGTCTGATGTCATTGAGGTAATTCTGATTCACAGCAACCCCTTTCAGTGAAGTCCCACCAAGTGCTAACTAAAACCTGTTAATAGTTTATTACTCATTCAGAGCAGATCGCTTCTCCCGAGAGTTTTTCAATTGCTAATCTTTCACAAGTAAATTGCCAGGAGTTTTTGCTGGGTGTCTCTGGGTGGACTCAAATCTCTAGTCTTTCAGTTAGCAGCCAAGAGCATCCATTGTTGGTATCACTCAGTGGGGTCTGGCCATTTAAAGGCAAAAGGAAACTAGGGTGTAGAGAATATAGCATAGAAATAGAAAGAGGGGATAAATGGCACATCCTCAAGTAGGGACTTACTTTATACCTACAAGTCACTGCTCCCAAGTTACTAGTCATCTTCATAGGCAACCAAAGAAAAAAAAATCCTGGTCTGCATGTAAACACAAAAGGTCCTGGTAGTGTAGTGGGTTAGAAGTTGGGTTGATAACCACAAGATCAGCAATTCAAATCTACCAGCTGCTCTGTGGAAGAAAGATGACCCATAGCGAACCTGTATAGGGTTTCCAAGGAGCAGCTGTGAACCATCAACCTTACAGTTCAAATGACTTTGCAGTCTGACGCATTAGCCCACAGCGCCACACCAGGCCTCCTGCTGGGGCTATAGTGGCAGATAAAATAGAAACCTTGTTTTCATGGGCTTGAAGTCTAACGGGGAGGGGAGAGTACCACTTAAGCATTTGGATTTTAAGAGATGTTTTGTTTTCAATAAAAATTCCACCCAGAAGCAAAATACTTCTGATGCAGGAACAGCTGATTTCTTTTACAACTGTTACTCCATGCACTTGGGTGACCTTATGAATAAAGTTTTTATCCCTATATGTTCTAGATATTTCATTATTACAAGATTGAAACATGTGCCCCAGGAAAGCAAGATACCTAAAGATTTCTTTAAGAAATTCCCAAGTATTATAAAAGGTAAAAGGGCCTGATTTATTGTACTAAAACAGCTTTGTGACCTCAACCATGAGATTTAGTATGGGTGAGGCGAGTTCAGTTAGATGAGTGGATAAAAAAGCAAACAAACACTCATATCGATGCATTTGTAAGTGTGTGTGAACCTGCTACACAATAAGCTCTCCCGTGGAGTATACCAAACCAGTGGGTTGTCCCAAGGTTGCTTTTTGGAGCCTAATACAAAGGTTTCAGGTTGAAGATTTGAGAGACATTATACGATGATGATGTCAGCTTGTTCTACAGAATGGACCCCTGTGGGTCTTCTCCTTGATTGTTCTTTAGAAGAGAGATAATGAAGATGACTGATGCACAGAAAATGAAGTGTAATGAATACTAATTAGGTAACTATGAGCAATAGATAAGTCTGGACACATTAACTTCAAACATTAGTATGTAGTCTATTCATGAAGTCCTGGTGTGGCACTGCAGGATAATGCACTGAACCGCAAGATCAGTTTGAAATGCAAGGTTGGTGATTCAAACCCACCGCTGCTCCTCTGAAACCCTATACAGGGTCTCGCTGAGCTGGAACTCACTCAACTGCACTTAACAAGTTTATTCATATCTCCTAATATTCGACTTTCCTAGATTAAAACACTTCACCTTATAGTTCAAAACAACTTAAAAAAGTTCTTATATGATTTGTGCCTTATGTTATATTCCTGTATTAAATCTGTATAAATTAAAATTGTTGTTGTTGTTGTTGTTAAGTGCCGTCGAGTCGGTTCCGACCCATAGCGACCCTGTACAGGGTTTCCGAGGGTGTAAATCCTTACGGGAGTAGAAAGCCTCATCTTTCTCCCGCGGAGCGGCTGGTAGTTTCGAACCGCTGACCTTAAGGTTCGCAGCCCGATTCGTATCCCTAATTAATTGATCTTTGCTAAATACGCAAAGTGTTCATGAACTTTCAGGTTTGTAAAGGGTGTATCTGACACATCTTAGGAGATATCACTGCTCAGATTCCTTATTACCCAAAGCAGAAAAGTTATTTTGTTAATCAGAACCAACAGCGAACGCGCCTCCAAAAGCCTGACAACTATAGTGAACCCTAGAGTGTTTGCTAAAAGCCCTAGACAGCATTGCAAAGGCAAACACTGATCTAAATGGCACTGCATAGAGTCACGTGGTGTGGTGCTGTAGGATAAGCACTGGACTGCTAACTACAAGGTTAGTGGTTCAAACACACCAGCTGCTTCTCAGAAACCCTATGCAGTATCACTATGATTAGGAATCAACTCAATAGCACTTAACAACAAATAAGAGAAATAACAGGAACCCTCAGGTGGCACAAACAACTAAGCATTTGGCTGTCACATGAAAGGTTGGTGGTTCGAACCTACCCCGAAATATCTTAGAAGACAGGTCTACTGATCTGCTTCTTAAAGTTCTGAAAACTCTATGGAGCAATTCCACTATGTACACATATACTCACTATGAGTCAGAATTGCCCAGATGGCAACCAACAACAACAGCCATCATTACTGGGTTTGCCAGTTTGTTCCCAGCGGGGCTTTAGAGTGGGGTAATCTTTTTTACAAATGCCTAATTTTCTGATGCTAACAATCTCTCTTAAGACTATCAGCCAGATG